ATGACGGCCTCGCTGTGACCTTCCAAGGAGCTGGTGCAGCGGGTTACAGCCCGGACCCTGAAGATAGCCTGTGGCTGGTAGATGATGTCTACGACCTTCTCTGTCTCCACTGCCTGGGACTCCAGTGTCTTCCCAAGTGAGGAGGTGATCTCAGCATCATGGACATAGAAGGCCAGCGGCAGGGGATCCTCCTGGATAGCAAGGGTAAAGAGTAACCCCTCATCAAAGGATGTGTAGGGACCACTTCTGCCAGGGATGCTTCCAGCTTAGCTGTGGGAAATGAAGCTTTCTTTCCAGCCACTCCTCTTGGGATACCCACTTCATTTCCAATTGAGTAAGACTTTTTAAATTCTTTTTTTTTTTTTTTTTAAACAGAGCCTCAAGCTATCCCCTTGGGTAGAGTGCTGTAGCATCACAGCTCACAGCAACCTCCAACTCCTGGGCTCAAGCAAGTCTCTCGCCTCCGCCTCCCAAGTAGCTGGGACCACAGGCGCCTGCCACAACACCCGGCTATTTTTTGGTTGCAGCCATCATTGTTGTTTTGGCAGGCCCGGGCTGGATTCGAACCTGCCACCTTAGGTGTATGTGGCTGGCGCCTTAGCCACTTGAGCCACAAGTGCCAAGCCAGACTTTTTAAATTCTTGAACAGCAATGGCAGGAGACTTACACACCACTTTGAAATCTTTATCTCACAACCACTTGGGAAGTAGACATTAATATTCCTACTTGACAGATAACAAAAGAGGAGGCTCAGAGCAACTGAGTCCCATTACTAATGACTAATCCCGGTTCTATAGGGTTCTTCAAAAAGAACACTAAGGTCCGGGATTAGGGTTAGTATACGGTCTCATGCAGTGTTTTCCAAACCATTACACATGCTGTATTTGTGTAAGAAGCATTCAAAAAGCTGGTTAAAAATATGGACTCTTGGCTTCACCCTAAAGTCTGGTTTAGTAAATCTGGGGTGGGGCCCAGGAACTGCATTTTAGAACACCCTCTCCTTCCACAGGAGAGTACATCTGTAAACACTAGCTTGAAGGTTAAGAACATGGGTATTGACTCTGACAGATTTGGGTTCCAATTAGAAATCAACTACTTACTGCATAGCATCGGGCAAATAATTCAGTCCCTCTGGGCAACACTGTGAAATGAGGATATTACCGAGTCCCATCTCCAGGGGCCGTGACAGGGAATTGACGAAATCTTACATACAGTGCGTTCAAAACGCAGCCTCACATCGCAGGTGGACCCAGATGATCGGTGTGTAAAGCGCTTTCCTAGTCATTCCATCTTCAGAGGAGGCTTAGAGGTAGGTGGGGACTCATTCACTAGTCGGTGGGGAGTGAGGAAACCTGAACCACAGACCTGGGTACCCTGATTCTCCACCGCACCCGCCCGGGGAGGGGATGCGGGGTTAGCCCCGGCCGGCCGCTCACCTGAGCCAGCAGCGCGTTGCACACTAACTGCAGCCTGTCCGGGGTGATGTCTACGGGCACGTCAAACGGGGAGCCCAACAGCTGCCCACCTTCATCCTGGAACTGCACTAGCAGCCGCTGGACGTCACCCGCCGCCGCCTCGTCCTGAGCGAACAAGCGGGCCGGGCGTTAGCCTCTCCGGCCGGCCGTAAGGCCCCCGCTTCGCCTCCCTCCGGCCTGGCGGACCCGAGCCCGAACGCTCTGCAGTGACGCCCCCTCCCCCATCCACGCACACCCACCACCACCGCAGCAGCCATCCTGGGTCCCCACGTGGAGAAGAAAGACCTCCGGTGGGACAGAGCGCCGCCTCCGTGGTCGGGCAGGGCCGCAGACGCCCATATCGCCCTCTGTTGTTGCGGAGGGGAAGTGTCATGCTGCTCCCGGCCTCTGGAGATGGAAATGGGCTCAGCTGCGGGTCCTCCCTGTACTCCACTGCCTCCCCACTCAGTCCCTCCAGTGTCTACAGGATACAGTAATCACATTTTGACTCTTCACAACAGGGATTCTTGTCCCATTTTACAGATGAGGAAGCCAAGGCTCTGAGAGGCGAAATCTCCCCAAGATCACAGAGGTAGGAAATGGCAGAGAACTGAAAATTCAGGGCTCCCGCTGGGTGCGAGGTGGGGGGCTTACAAAGCCACAAACGACTATTGGGTTAAAGGCAGAAGTTATTATTTTTTCCAAATACATCCACAGTTATCAACACTTTAAAGCAATAATAAGGACAGCAATGTATCAGGCGTGTCCTAAGTGCTTTCCATACATAACTCATTGAATCATCACACAGGACTCTTCTCCTCACCTTACAGATGAGGAACTGAACAGAGAATAATGCACTTGGCTCTTTTGTCAGAAATAAGGGATCTTCCTTGGTTACCCCCCTCCCCACCCAAGTAGCCTCAGGCTCTGTCAAATCTGCCTCATGAACACAATTTGAATCTGTCCTCTCCACCTCCATGACCACATTCTGTTTTTGTTTGTTTTTTTGTTTTTTTGAGACAGAGTCTCAAGCTGTCACCCTGGGTAGAGTGCTGTGGTGTCATAGCTCACAGCAACTGCCAAACTCTTGGGCTCTAGCAATCCTCTTGCCTTGATTTTTCTTTTTTTTTTTTTTTTTTGAGACAGAGCCTCAAGCTGTCCCTCTGGGTAGAGTGCTGTGGCACCACAGCTCACAGCAACCTCCAACTCCTGGGCTTAAGAGAGTCTCCTGCCTCAGCCTCCCAAGTAGCTGGGGACCACAGGCGCCTGCCACAACACCCAGCTATTTTTTGGTTGCAGCCATCATTGTTGTTGGCGGGCTGGGCTGGATTCGAACCCGCCACCTTAGGTGTATGTGGCTGGTGCCTTAGCCACTTGAGCCACAGGCGCCGAGCTGGTTTTTCTATTTTTAGTAGAGACAGGAGTCTTGCTTTTGCTCAGGCTGGTCTCGAACTTATGAGCTCAAGCTATCCATCCACCATGGCCACATTCTGGATGGAAGCATCATCATTTCCTGCCTGGACCACTGTAAACGTCTCTTGAGGAGTCCTTCCCCCTCCATGCCTCCTCCCATCTACGATGCAGCCAGGGTGGTCTTTTCAAACCAAAAATCTAGTCTGTCACTCTTTCCCCTAAACCCCAGCAATGGCTCCCTTACGTGCAGGAAAAAACCCAACTTTTTACAGTGGTCCAATCAGCCTTGCTATCTCCTCTCTCTTTTAGATTAAATCCTTCTGGCTTTTCCGAGTTCTTCCAAGTCATGGCCCTTCCTGCATCAGTGATTTTGCATGTGCAATTTTCTCTGTCTGGAGCGGTTATGGAATGAATTGTGCCCCTTGTCCCCTATGTCCATATGTTGAAACCCTAACCCCCAATATAACTGTATTTAGAGATAGGCCCTATAAGAAGGTAATAAAGGTTAATGAATAAAGTCATACGGATAAAGCCCTAATCAGATAGAACTGATGTCCTTATAAAAAGAAGAGGATCCAAAGCACTGTTGCTCTCCGTACCCCTCTGTGATGGTGAATACACGGCTTTTGTTCCAGGAAGACCCCCTTGTGAAGAGGGAGCCTCCACATGTCCCAAGAGAGCTCCCAGTCAGGTGTGTGCGTGGGGGGATACAGTTCTCCAGTCTGCCCCGGCCCTTTCCCTAGGAGATTTCAGTCTTAGGCAGGATACACAGAGCCCACTCAGGAAGCTCCCAATCTGGTGGGAGAGGTCAGCTATATATATTCACTCATACAGTGGGGACAAACAGACCAGAACAAACAATCCACCGACTTACACTAACCCGAGTTAGCAAGTTCTGTGGTCTTTTTTTTTTTTTAGGCAGAATCTCACTATGCTGCCATGGGTAGAGTGCTGTGGCATTATAGCTCACAGCAACCTCAAACTCTTGGGCTTAAGCGATTCTCTTGCCTCAGATTCCCAAGTAGCTGGGACTACAGGTGCCCATCACAACGCCTGGGTATTTTTTTGTTGCAGTTGTCATCATTATTTAGCTGGCCTGGGCCGAGTTCAAACCCGCCAGCCTGGGTGTATGTGGCTGGTACCCTATCCACTGAGCTACGGGCGCTGCCAGTCCTGTGGTCTTTCTGAAAAGCAAGGATATTTCCAGCAAGTGAATTCAGATGGATTGAGGGGTGGTGAACAAGTAGTAGAAGGGAAGGAACTTTAGCTCCTCCTTCCAGCCCCACAGAAAGGCATTTCTGGAAGTCTCCAGTTGGTTGGAGACCTGGGCAGCTGCTCTGTGTGTCCATGTCTGTCAGCCCCTCAGCTGTCACTCTGCACCAGAAATAGCAATGGTTGGGGGGAGGGAGGGAAGATTGTTTATCTGGGATAGAGGTGGAGAAGGAGCATTATCTTCGTGCGGGGTGGGGGTGGGGGTTCCCCTAACTTCTGGATCTTTCTCTCACTCTTTGGGTTACGAATACTGGAGCCCTCAGGACACCCCTGAATAAGGAGCTCGGGCAGTGGTCAGTCAGCACCTCCATGTGGCCAGGACTGTCCAGTCTGCGCAGAAGGAGGGCCCTGAGTATCAGTGACAGACTCCAGGGGCACCTGCCCCTGTGGCCAAATATGGTCTGAAGCCACTGGCAGGGGTGATAAAATCCCCTGTGGGGGGCTGGGAGGTGCAGACTCAGGCTGGCTGGCTGGAGGCTGAGCCAGGAGAGCTCAAGGGAGCAGCACCACAGGGGCCAATTGAAAGCTTTGTCCTCGCTGAGAAGGTGAGGTGGGCCAGTGTTCCTTGGACTGGAGAGGGACAAGACAGACTTTCAAGGCCTTTGACATAGTGGCTTCACCTCCAGGGAGGGCTGGAATTAAGGCACAGGGACTCTGAGACCCATTTCAACTAGGGCCAAGCTCCAAGAAAATGCTATCATGTCCTTCTGGGGCAATGGATTGGAGGGTGCTGGTGTGGGTCCTTTCCAGGCAGAATCCTGCCTTCTGCTCTAGTGGGAGGGGAGCCTGGAGCCCTGGGCCTCAGATCTGGGGTGTATGGGGTGAGGGACTGGCCAGACAGAGCTGCTCCTGTCCCCACAGATGGCAGAGGTAGAAGCAGTCCAGCTGAAGGAGGAGGGGAACCGGCATTTCCAGCTTCAGGACTACAAGGCTGCGACGAAGAGCTACAGCCAGGCCCTGAAGCTGACCAAGGACAAGACCCTGCTGGCCACACTCTATCGGAACCGGGCAGCCTGCGGCCTGAAAACGGTCTGGAGCCCGACTGGGTGGGATGGAGGGGGAGGGTCCTCGGGGCTGGGGGGCAAGGATATGGAGTAGGAATTGTCCCTCTTCCCAGCTGCCTCACCTGGACCCTTCAGGCTGGAGAAGTGTCCCTCCAACTGCCCGACCCACCACTCTGGAGAGGGAGAAACTCACCCAGATCAGAAGCAGCCTAATGCCAGAGCTTTCCACATGCTCTTTCACGGCATCTTGGTAACAGCCCTGTGAGATAGCTGCATTCACGTTGCAGAAAAGACACTCAGGGTGGGCAGCGCCTGTGGCTCAGTGAGTGGGGTGCTGGCCCCACATACTGAGGGTGGTGGGTTCAAACTCGGCCCCAGCCAAACTGCAACAACAACAACAAAAAATAGCTGGGTGCCGTGGTGGGTGCCTGTAGTCCCAGCTACTTGGGAGGCCGAGGCAAGAGAATCGCCTAAGCCCAAGAGCTGGAGGTTGCTGTGAGCTGTGACACCAGAGCACTCTACTGTGGATGATAAAGTGAGACTCTGTCTCTAAAAAACAAAAAAAAAAAAAGAAAGAAAGAAAGAAAAGAAAAGACCCTCAGGGCTCAGAGGGCTTCAGTAGCTTGCCAAGATCTCTAGGTCCTAGCAGAGTCGAGATTCAAACTTGGGTTTGCCTGCTGCCAAAGCCTGTCTCCTTTTCCATGCCCAGCAAAGGGGCACTCCCTGGGCCCCTATTAGCCTGGAAGCCCTCTCCCTCACTCTGGGGACACTCTCTGGCTGTCTCTGCCCTGGGCCCACATTAACCAAGTCTTCTTCTCCTCCTCCATTTCTCAGGAGAGCTACGTCCAGGCAGCCTCAGATGCCTCCAGAGGTGAGGTTCCTGCTCCCAAACCTGCCCTCTCACCTTTTCCTTCGGGTAGTTGGTGCTGGGTTTGGGGCTGGTCGTCATGTTGGGGAAAGTCTTGAGTGAGTTCAGAAGGGAAAGGACTCAGCTGGTGAAGAGACTAGAAACATTCCCTGGGGAGCAGTTGAGGGAGCTGCAATATTTAGCCCAGAGAAGGGAACTCCCAGGTGGGACAGAGAGCTACTTCCAAGTACCTAAAAGGTTGTTGCAAGAAAGAAGGATTGGATTTCATCTCAGGGTTCCAGGGCTAGACTTAAGATAAACTGGCAAAGTCACAGGCAGTATATTTCAGGTAGGAAGAGGGAAGGGTTTTCTTTCTTTTTTTTTTTTTT